TGTTCACATTTTTGTCAAGAATTTGTTAATGTATATACTCTGGAAATAATGAACATGAACTGATCTGTGTGAATAGATTGTAAATGGTTTGTGTTACTGAGCCATCCACTTAGCTAAGAATAGTGCTGTGGATTGGGAGATGGCTCACAAGGTTGGAATGCGTACTTTACGTATGGGTACCCTGGGTTTGATGCTCACTACTGCATACCTCCACTCTCAGTTTTCCTGCATGTGACCCCCAAACTAAAGAAATATGTGTGATAAATTAATAGGCCTAGAATTGAGAGTCTACCTATGGACTTTCATCCTTAATTCTTTGTTCCCCTTTAAATCTTGTGAATGCTGGTTAATTAACATTCCCCAGTGCCCCTTACTGGATTCCTGATACCCCCTTTCCTCCTATAAATATTACATAATACTTTTCTTTTTGGGGCTGGAGCGATAGCACAGTGGGTAGGGTGTTTGCCTTGCACGCGGCCGAGTTTGATTCCTCTGTCCCTCTCGGAGAGCCCGGCAAGCTACCAAGAGTATCTCGCCCACACGGCAAAGCCTGGCAAGCTACCTGTGATGTATTCGATATACCAAACACAGTAACAAGTCTCACAATGGAGACATTACTGGGCCCACTAGAGCAAATCGATGAACAATGGGATGACAGTGCTGCAGTGCTTTAAACGACATTAAAATCATAATTTTTCACTTAATACTTTGACATAATAGCTATGTTATTCAAACTTTGTCTTTATGAATTAGAGGCCTTTCATTTTATAGATAACCAATTACATTTAAAACAAACTTAAAGACACATATTTTCTCTTTTTGGGGGATAGAACTAAATATCATTGGTATGTTTATCTGCATACTCGACAAGTGTATATTCACATATAACTCATTTTAGTATTCAGTTTTGGTATCATTACTTAAAATGTTATAAGTGTCTCCTATGCTTTATGCACCATAGCTGGGCATGATTATACTTTCATTTTATCGAATAGCTATATTTTGATAATAATAGTCCTATTTTACAGTACAAAAAAAAAGCCTCAGAGAATTCAGAAAACATGCCCTTCAGACTAAGGGCAACTGACTGATAAGTTGCAGTGCTATGATGATTTAGAAATTTGCTCCCAGTAATCATTTCAGTTGTGTTCATAGGTCAAGGAATAGAATTTTTCAGGATGTACATCATGATATGTGATACTAACCCTTTATTAATTTCTGTCATAGCAGCACATTTCAAAAAACTTAATTTTTAAAACAAATGTTCTTTAAAATTTTTTTTTTTTACTGTGGAAACAGAGAGATAGTACAGTAGATAGAGCATTTTTGTCTTGAACCCAGCCAACCTGGGTTTGATCCCCAGCATTCCATATGGTCCTCCAACCATGCCGGGCTCTCAGTGCAGAGCCAGGAGGAAGCTCTGAGCACTGCCAGATGTTGTCCATAAAACCAAGAAAAAATTTATTTTATTTTTTTACTGTTACAGTAGGTAAGGTGTTTTTCTTGCATTTGACATGGTCCCCGGAGTGCTATCAGGACTGATCCCTGAGTGCAGAGACAGATCCCTGAGTGCTGTGAGCACCCACAGGGTGTGACCCCCAAACCAAACAAAACTTTTATTGTCAGTGTCTAATGTTTTTAACTTTGGCTTAGAAGTGGAGTTTCATAACTCTTCAAATGTATGTTACCATACTCTATTAGGGTCATGAAGATGTTGAGGCATTGAGAAAAAAAGAATTGGCACAAAAGAGGGTGCTGAGAGTGCATTTTTAAAAAGAATATTTGAAATATTGTAATTCTGTTTATATTGGCTGAATCTTTTTATTAGGATTCATCAAAACTAACCTTACTAGAAACACAAAGTACTAAAACATAAAGTATAAGGTGCTTAAAACCACATACTGGACAAATAGCTGAACAAGCAGCTCCCAGTGCCATGGACTGGGAGGCATCACCCTGGGCACACCCCTGCCTGGGCTGTCAGCCCTGGGACTGCTGGGTAACCACTCCTGGAAAGCAGCTCTCCTGAGCTGTTGCAACAATGACGAGATAGTGAATGCACCAGTATACAGAAGCAGGTAACAAACTGCCAGTATCTCTAAGGAGCCCTCATGCCTTGATGTGTGTACAGGTTAAGGAAAGTTTCTAATCCCACACAAGGGGTGTGTGCAGGCATGTGTGTGTGTGTGTGTGTGTGTGTGTGTGTGTGTGTCTGTGTGTGTGTGTGTATGTCTGTGTCTGTGTCTGTGAGTGTGTCTGACAAATGCATTCCTAAAACATAATAGTCCCGACCACTCTGCATAATTGCTGAAACTGACGTGATATTGTGTGTTAAGGTATTTGCTCAACCACATATTTTAAAATTTCTTTCAAGACAGTTCAATTATGGTCCATTACCATTGTCTAAAGTATATTTAGTGTGTCTAACCAAGAGACTTTCCAGCAATCCTATTTGACATCATTCCCATGAAGTTCAACTGTGGCCTTCCTCCAGGCCTGTAGACTCCTTAGGCCCACCTCTTCCATAGTCACAGAGGGCACTTTTCCTATAGTTATGTAGAATCTCAGAGATGATAGCCCTAGAACCTGGAATGTGTTGACTGAACCAAAGTCTCTATTCCAACTCAGTCATTATCCTTAGGGTTGGAAGATAGAATTTTGCTCTAGAACATTGTACAGGAAGTAGTCAGAAAGCAGACTACAAAGAAAACAGAATTTTGCTTGTAATGTTATTATTTACCACATGTGCTATGGGAGCAGGAGCCTGAATTGAACTTGGATCTGGGTTATTTTAGGACAATGTCAGGCAGCCACTACAAAGTCCAGAGTCTTACAATCTGTAGATTTCCTCTAGGACTCCGTGAGCTTGACTGCCAGGGCAAAAGTCCTACCTATTGAGTGAAAGTTTGGTCAAGACTAATGTGAAATAGACTAAATTCCATGGTCCAGTTGGGTTAAATTTAAAGGTTGGTAAAGGTCAACTTGGGTCTGCAGATGTACTTTATTTCTAGACCTAAATTTTTTTTTTCAGGAGACAAAACTAAAAAGGTCACCCTTTCTTCATAATCCTTCAGGAATGAACCAATTTTATAGTTTTGCAGGGTAAGCCAGATGAACAGGTTTTAGGCTAGTGGTCACATTGGTAAGAAAGGGAGCAAAAAGCATTGGTTATATTTAGACCCTGAATTTCTAAGCCATCGCATTTAGATCTGCTGCAAAAGGTTTGGGATGGTATGTTTTAAAAGTTGATCAAAAACCTTGAGCAAAAGGTAGATTGGGACACAGAAGGGAGGCAATAAAATAGCAAGGGTGTCAGAGAAGGGTGTTTAGACTTAACTATTAAGTATCTGGTGAAATAGAAAGGGTGGGCTCACTCCCACCTCAGGGAATCCAACTCGGCCGTGTATATACCTCTGTAGTTCCTACTACCCATACCATGTTACTTACATAAACCAGTTTTTGGTTGTTTGGGGGAGTAACACCTGGTTGTGCTCAGGACTTATTCCTAGGTCTGTCTTCAGGAATTATTCCTGAGGGAGTCAGGGGACCATATGCAGTGCCAAGGATCCAATCTGAGTCAAGCACAAGCAAGGAAAATGCCTTACCTGTTGTATGGCACATAGAAACAAAATATGTTTACCCTGTATTCTAGAATGTAGTAGCAAGCCAAGAGAGAAAAGGAAAAGAGAAAGCAATTGATGAGAATAGCTAGAGATCTTGTGGGCCGCATGACCTTTCTACTCCTGTCATGCTCATGTGTAATCATGCGCACACACACACACACACACACACACACACACACAAAACCATGAATTATCTTCATTCATGCCTATCATTAAAAAAAAAATAAATACACGAGAAGAAATATGATGGGAGGGAGACATAACAGGTATCTCTGGCTCTGGTGAGCCATCTTTAAATATGCTCTCTTTTCCCTCTGCTGAAACCCCCTCACTGTGCTTCATTGGTGCTTTGATATTATTTTTCTTATGCTTATAATGCCACATGTTATTGTTCACTTATGTAGTTCCTTACTTAAACTGTGGGATGCTTCTAGCCAGAATGTCTGTGTTCTTTACTGTTCATTACTGGTCAGTGAAATGTCTGTGGCTGGAATAATGTGATTTCCAGTATCCTTGGGATATTTCATAGTGCAGTACAAATTATAGAATGTATGTGTCTTATTCCACTAAAAAGTCATGATTGAACAATCTGACTCTCTTCATCCCCTTGTACATGTTAAAGCCTATAAATATGGACCTCTTTTAATGGTACCTAGAGAGTGGTGATAGTGATAAAAGTAGTTTCCTTGCACAACTGTTACAGAAATGTTTAAAAAAAGTATAAGAATCTATTGAAAAGTATATATTTCATAATTATAAGTGATCCAATAGAATAAATAAAATTATCTTAACTAAAATAACTCAGTAATTTCAACCAGATTAATTCTAAAACACTGAATCATACTATTAAATATATAGATCTGATAGACTTCAAGCCAAAATAATATTAACACAATCAGAATCCCCACGTTAATTATTCTATGTGTCTATCAATATTGTCTCAGAAATACTATCATTAAACTTGGGCTTATGTGTTGAAACCGGGTCTGTAATGATTATTTTTATAGGACAAAAATCTAGATCTCAAAACACTTCATTGATTCAAATATTAGAAAATACAATGAGACTTAAGCATACCAAAAAAAAAGAGTTGTGTTGCAAAATTCGTGTTACATGCCAAAATAACTAAATTTACATTTTTTATTGACTTTGTCCTAGCTTTATAGAAACAAATAAACCAAGTAGTGACTATCTGGGAAATACTGTGTCTATTAGTTGCCATGAGCAGATTAATATTGCTAAATTATATGTACATGTATACATACTAAAACTGTTGATTAGATTTCTTTACTTTTCAAAATACATGGTGGTTGAGAGTTTCACATACTTCCCTATGAGAAAATAAACCATAACACCTCATTTTATCCTCCATTACAGAAGACAATAGATGTGCATCTTCGAATACAGCATCCTGCGCCAAGTGCCTCGCTCTGGGTCCAGAATGTGGATGGTGTGCTCAAGAGGTGTGCCTTTTTAAAAATTTTCCTCAACCTTCTTTCTAACAAGATTTCATAGAAATAATAATGTCTTGAAGGTACATTGGGGGAAAAAAAGATACTGTTGAGCATCAGGAAAATCTTATTTTGGTTTTTGCTTGGAAATAACATAGCTGACTGAATATAAAGTAAATTATAACCTTTTATTAGGAAAATTATGATCATTTTAAAATGAAGTGCAAACAGTTTTATGTTTTCCATCTGTTCTATAGAGAGAACAAAGTAATTGGCAAACACAGTGACTTTTGATATGTCAGTGGGAAGATTTGCTACAGCTTAGGACATTAGGTTGCATGCCCAAGTTATATGATTTTTGTATACTTGCTTATTAAAGGAAATCCAGATAATTTATTGGCATAGTGCTTTTGTTTTTATTTTTCAAGTACTTGAAGATTAATTATTTCCTTCATTTCAAAACATAGTGTATCAGTTCCTTGGTTGCTCATTTTTCACTTGTGGGATATACTCTGTAGAATGGAGAATAATCCAGTGTTTATTGATCAATAAAAGTATTTTTGTATTCTATCAAGATAAATATTCCAATAACAAATTTCTTAGTAAAATGAGTATAATTTTAATGTATTTCTTCCATACTTGGTGCTAGTGTAGTTTTGTGAGTCATTCCTTTGGTTGATAGATAACCTTCAACCAAAAGACCTATTATAATTTTTACTTAGTAAGCAATCTATTAATTTGTTTTCTTATGAGACTGTCTAGGTAGTTTAATTTTTATTTATATAGCTCATGGGAAGTTGGACAAAGGTTTCTTTAATAATCTTACATGACATGAAGAGATATCTCTAGTTTTTGTTTTCTGATTTAGCTCAAAAACTATACCTACCATAACCTTACTAACTTCTCTTACTGTTTTCCCTGATAGGAGAAAATAGAAAGATAAGAAGTAGGAAAGGACAGTAGAAAAAGAAATTAGGAAAGAAGTAAATGAGGTTGATTAAATAGCAGTCAAGCCTGAAAGTTAGTGTCCTTCCTACAACTTGCTTCCTTGATACACTCTGGGTTCTACCAGTGAGAAAGTCAAGTGTCATTCTACAGTAGGAAATGCTTTACTCTAAGAATTCTAGTTCTAGGTTCTAGGTAACTAGAACTAGAGTTCTGTAGATAGGACAATTCCAGAATTTCTGGGACTAATTTCATCCCTTCTTAGGAGTCAAAATACCAGACAGAATTAATTCTATTCTTCAAATCTTTTTCTTAGCTCTGAAACCTTAATTTTGGAGTTTACATCTATGTTTTTCTTTTTCAAGAATGTTTCCTGGCTTGTTAAGTACTAATTCTTGACCAGTATTCCACTATAGATATTATTGTATCATTAGGGAAGGTCCCTAAAACATGACATTTGTGCTAATTTGTTATCAGTTGCTGAGAACTTCAGAGAATCTAGTTAAGAAAAACTTCAAAACTGGTTAAGAAACTCAGTTGGATAGTCACATTTAAAACCAGCTATATAGACTGCCAGGCTCCAAAGGGATCCCTTCTTTGTTTCTTACATCACTGGCACTAACAATCTGGAAAATCACCGTTATGAGAATAGCGGTGTCACTCTCATTGTAGAAGGGGGGAACATGAATAGTCATTGCAACAGATGGTCAAATGGAAGGAGGCAAACTAAGGAGGCAAAGAGGAGTAACTGCTAGAGAAGCAACTGGTGTTCGACTATTTTTTTAGAAGGGAATTCCAGGAAGCATTCAGAAACCACTTGGTTCTTATATCCAAAGTATTCTTCTATGTAGTGCAGAGTCATCTAATTTGTTTTGGAAAAAGCAGCACTGAATGAGATGAATTGCATTTAGATCCCAGAATCATTGGTTTCTAACTTATAAACTTGGACATATTAGCCTAACCACTCTGAACTTCACTTTTCCCTAGTTCTAAACTAAAAATAAAAACTGTACCTATGATGCTGTTATGAAGGGTAAATAAAACAGATGAAACTGCCTAAGAATAGGAGTCACGGTCCCTGAGCACAGTAAGCCATGAGCACTGCCAAGAGTATCCCCAAAACAAAAACTAAACTAATATAAAGAATGGTAGTGTTTATTATAAGATCTTGGATAAGATGCCAGAGTAACGCATTCAAATTTTTAAGAAAGTAAAACAACTTCCTTAGAGGAAGCAGGCAGTATTAGAACCCAACCACCTGTCACATCATTAAGAAGAGGAGCTGTCCACAGCCTGCAGGTTGACTTGATATCCTTGAGAGAAAGAAAATTAGTTTTGAAATACAGTCCTTGAGGCACATATGCAACTGATTTTTAACTCAACCAAAAAAGGGTGGGAAGTCAAGAAAGGGTAAGATGATTTTTCTCTATTTATGATTATCAGATAAATGGTAACAAGATGAACCTAGTTTATACAATGTTCAATGCTGGTCACAAGTTAAAAAAAATTAGATAGGGTAGACAAAATTTGCTATGAATTATTATGTTGCATGTTAATCTGAAATTCTACAAATTTTTCCTCTCTTTTTCTCTACACCACTACAAGGAAATGACTGGAAATACTAAGGATGAAGAAGATCTAATCCCAATTATCTAGTACAATGCCTCACATTTCATTGTTGCTGGGGATCAAACCCAGGACTTAATAAGTATGATATATGAGCTGTACCACTAAGCTACATCCTGATCTTTTACAAGTTTCTTTTAATATATATGAATGTCATGACAATTTTTGAGATCTTCTATTATTCTCATGCTTATATAAAGGATACGGGGTATGACTTTGGAACATAGTTATACTAAAATATATGAAGGGCACTTATTGTCCAAAGAAAGATGACAGATTTCTTTAATTTCTGTGCAAAGTGCTATCTTTGAAAGTCAGGAAGATTCAGAAAGGGGTAGTAGAACTAGCTTTTCCTATTTATATATCTTCATATTAATATATTAAATGGATGAAAATAACTGATGTAAAGCCAACTAGAGGAACGTCAACCTGGGCTTTCATTTTCAAATAGGTTTTAGATGCAGCTCCTTGCTACCTGAGTTTTCTTACATATTTATTATAGAAAAAAAGAGTAAGATTTAAGAATTAGTAGAAATAAAAATGACAAAACACAAATAATTAAGAGGGTGTGGTTTTAGATTCTTTCCTTTATTACAAAGTGGAAAGTAGGCCACCATGGGTAGGGGTAGGATTCTGTTTCTTATTTTGATGCCATGGTCTTTTCTTCCCTTTTCAAATCTAATTGACAAATTGGCAAAGATTCTATAACTTAGTTTTTTTTTACACTGGAATAAAAACAGGCATGCTGATTCAGACATTGCAAAATAATTGAGACAGAGGCCTATTTCAGCAAAAAAGGAAGAAAAAAGAGTTGACATTTAAAGGTCAAATGGCATCGCTTGATGTATAGAGACAGAAATTAACCACATTCCTCTTCCATTCTTATATACCAAAAATAAAATTCCTGGATCAAAAGGAAATGTTGAGGTTTTTGTACTTCATTTTCTTTCCATCATTTAAGTCTTTGGGTTTCTACATTTTTAGATTTCATTAGACTTTGTGTGTTTCTTCTGAAGTGAAAGAGTGAACACATAGTTACCAAGACAGTGTGCCCTTAGTACTTCCCAGGCTCCTAGACAGGTAGAACCCCACTAGGAAACCTTGAAGCATTCTAAGGGAAACTAGCATATCAATATATATAACTTTTCTGTAAGGAACTCCAAGTTGTTTATTTAGACTTAACCTTACATTTGATACCTCTGCGGGGTCATTACTAGAGAATGAATTTGAATACAAGAAATTAGGGATTTAAACATTTTAAGGTTCAGAATGAAATCTAATTGTATAGCAAAGTAAATTAAATGTTTCGGCTCCCAAGAAAGCAAATTACAAACTGATGATTGAAAATTTTTATTGGAAAGGATAATAAAGATCATGTTCTCTATTGTCTTTTAATCATATTAATATTGTATGTATACTCCATGTTCTAATTCAGCATCAGGTCTGTTAAGTTACTATCAGACATTCTTCCTTTGAATTGTTTCCCAGTCCTCCAAAACTTAGTAAGTGGGCCAGGGATATGACCCAATGGTAGAGCATATCCCTTGCACATGTTTTTCCCCTAGTATGAGCTATAGTACCACCAATAAAAAATAAAATGGAATAACATTTTAGCACTTAATTTATATAGAAACAGGCCATGAACTCTATTCCACTCTTTGGTTTCTCAGCCCCCATGCTACAAATTGAAAGAGGAATTAAATGAAAATCCTTGCATGAATCTTTTAATATTGTCTGCCACCATCCCATCTTATTAATCACCATGGACCATCATCTCCACCCATGGAATGGATATGAGTGGTGAACTCATATTCAACCATTATTAAAATTGATAATCTTCTTTATCTACAATGTGATGACATTTTGTGATTCCCTTAAGTTTATTGCCCATAAATAATTACATTTGTCTTCTAATGACTGCATTCAAGAATTATCTGCTGAATCTTTGATGACAGATTCTGTCTATTCCAGTCCGTGTTCTTGGCACCTAAAATACTATTATGTCTGAATATTCAATCAGCACTGTTCGGTTAAATGATTAATTTATTGGAGATCCAATGATTTGAAATGGTTGCGATCTAATGATTTCAAACTGTTTTCATCTGGCTTTTCAGATGAAACAGTTTCTCTTTTACTAAAAACCAGATGAAAACAGTTACTTCCAGGAAGATCGCTGAGCAAATATCCAGCTGTGTATAAGAAAAATACTCCCCCAATTTTAAAAAGATTTTATTTTCATCAACTTGATTTACAATTTGTGATACTGTCAATAATAGCATTTTCATGCATCTAATACTCCAATACCACAACCTGCCTTAGAATTACTGTTCCTTCCACCATTATTTCAGGGGCCCCCAATTTACTAACCCTTCCTCAACATCCCGCTACTTAAACACATCTCACTACCCTGGTACACTCCATCTGATCTGTCCTTAGATTCTGTTATGTTTGGACACTTGCTATTCCCTTACTATGTTTCTTTATACCCCTCTATAAGAGAGATCATTCGGTCTGCCTCCTGGCTGGCTTCTCTTAGCGTGAACCCCTCCAGTCATAGCAGCAAATTGCATAATTTCATCTTATAGTAAAATAATAGTCCATTGTGTTTATTATATATTTTTATATTATTTTATGCGGATTTTGGAGACACTGGGGTTAGATTTTCAGAAATGGGATTTCTGGATTATGTAAAATCTCAATTCTTAAGATTTTTTTAAAATATGAACAATGGGAGGACAGTGCTATATTATTTTTAAAAAGTGGCTGAATCAGTCAAATTTCCATTGACAGTAGAAAAGAGCTCCTTTTCCTCCACATCCCCACCAACGTGGATTATTTTCATTCCTTTTGATATATGCCAGACTTGTAGTTAGGAGGTGATATCTTATGGTAGTTTTTATTTGAGTTTCCCTGGTAATCAGTGATGGTGAGCAGTTTTTCCATATACTTATTGGCAATAAGCATATGGCCACGAGTCATACACCTCCCAAATTTTAGGTCAGTACTATGTGCAATAAAACATTTTCTTCCACTTTCATTGTATTTCTAATTCTTGGGGAAATGCCTGGATGTTTACATACAATTAAAAAATAACTTTATTTTCAGTCAAGATAAATTAAATTTGTTTTATTTTATTTTGATTTGTTGCTTTGTTTTTTGTCTCATGCCTAGCTGTGCTCAGGACTTACTTCTCACTCTATGCTCAAGCATCATTGCTGGTGGTGTTCAGTGTACTATAGATGGTGCCAAAGATGGAAATAGGGTTGGGTACATGCAAGACAAGAGGCTTACCCACTGTGCTATTTCTGTTTCCAAAATAAGTTACATTTTAAACTTGTGCCATTAATTCCAGGTTTGTTGGATCACTATGATATGTCCATCAATTAGCCAACGTTCGATGGTAATAGAGGTTTTAGGTTCACTTACAAAATCAGAGTTTAAGCTGCAGTTTCATAGCTTTCAATCCTGTTATAAACATCTTACCTGGTTTATGGAATTGCTTACAGGCTACCATATATATAAGAAGCTGTATTTGCGGGCCATAGAGATAGTACAAGGGTTGTGGTGCTTTCCTTGCATACAACCAACCCTGATTCAACACTTAATAAGCATGTAATTTCTAGGAATTTATTTTTAGATTCCAAACATAATAACATATACTAAGCATCCACCTAGGATATTTGGAACCATGTAATGGTCTATTTTGGCTACATAGCCTTATGGAGAAATCTATCTGAAGTAAAATATATATAAATAATTAAATTGGTATCATTTTACAGTGCTAAGTAAATAATATATTTTAAATACTTGGTGTAAATTCCCCTCTTAATGTTAATTTTCTTCTTTTAAAAACACTTAGAAACTTAATCTTTATATAAGACAAGTTGCAAGCTTTTTATAGGAAATATACAGTTATGGTGAATCATTGCATAATTTCTGTAATGTTACAAATGGCTTATAGGCTACCTTTTTTTATATATTTTTTGTTTCAATTGACAGTAAAAAAAAATCACTAACTTTCCTTCTTTTAAATAGGATTTTATTTCGGGTGGCTCCAGGAGTGAACGCTGTGATACTGTTTCCAATTTAATAAGCAAAGGCTGTTTGATTGATTCGATTGAATATCCATCCATACGTGTAATACCCAGTGAAAATGAAGTTAATACCCAGGTGACTCCTGGAGAAGTGTTGCTCCAGCTGCGTCCAGGTTTGATTATTTTCAGTTAAATCTATGCTGATATTTAATTTTAAATTACACCTATTTTTCTTATTTGTACTTATATTTACCCTTCTGTGGCAGACAGTCCTGTTGGAATAGAAATGACAGTAGCCTCAGAATCAATACAACAGAATTTTAATCTTCATTATTCCTAGAGCCAGCTAGCTGTGTGGCCTTGAACATTTTCTGCAAACCTGACCACACTGTATTATAATTGTGCTCCCAAACTTGATCACATTGTAGTATAATTGTCTTCAGACTTCACTGCCAGCTCTGAAGAGAGTATGTTTTATTCTGTTCTGTTTCTTCAATGCCTAGCAAACTATGGTAAATACTCCTTAAGTACTATTGAATTTATCCGTTGGTCGAATAATTTGTAGGAGATGTAAATTAAGTTCTTTGTTATGAACTTTTAAACAAAACTATAATTCAAAATTATGATAACTTCCTTGGGTTGCTTTTGTGGTATCCCATAAAATTAACCTATACCTTTTTTTCCTTATTCCCTTGTACTGCTCTTATGTACATTGTGTTCCACAAATTTTGCATATTTTGTAAACTTCTAGATATTACTCATTTTACTCTGGTGCTAGAGAATTCCAGACAAGCTGCATATGATAAGTTGAAGCAAACAGCCATCACTCAATTAGATTCATTTAATTTCTGTAGTATGTAATAACTGACTGCATACTAAAATGTATGTAATGTAAAATGTATGTAAAGATAATGAAATAATTAAGTTTCATTATTTCATTCTGGGTGGTCTTGTCCTGGCATTAAATTCTTAAATAACTGTATCAGCACACAGCTTCCTTATTCCAAAGCTGAACTATTCCAAACTCTTTGATTACCAGAAAAACAAAGCTCATTTCTTTCTTGGCACTAAATATATAGCTAGCTTCCAATTAAAACTGGGCTCATCACCACATAAAACAATTATACAACCTAATATGGACATATATGAGCAGCATTTGAAAGAGATGTACAAAACTGAAATTAGGTTAGCAAGGTTATGGTATTTTCCTCAAGTATTGCAAAAAAAAAAAAACATGGTTAATGAGTCCTTTCATTAGAAAAGATAAAAGTAATATGCCTTTTCTCAAATAATTCTAACTTAGAATATTTACTACATACTCTTGTAGGAAGAGTCTTTTAGTGATATGGTTGCCGAACCATCTTTAATGATTATTTTTCTCTTCCTGTTATTCTTATAAATGAACTATCTCAGTTTTTCCAGTCATCTGGGTCTACCAGGGTCTTTTCCTGAAGCTGCTTCTTGAATTTCTAATTTCATGCACATTTCCATTTTTCTAGCAACAATGTCATCTGGAGTCCTCCCCATTGTTCATCCACAAGATTCTTCAGAATCTTAATCCAAGTCATCTCCCCTTTCAGGCTAAATTAACATTTATAAGTGCAACACATGTAACTCATTATATGCCAACTTTCTAACTCAGAAAAGTCTAGGAATATTTCCAGCTCATACTTGACTTTGGGAAAAAGTTACTAATGTTATCTTTACTATAAATCTTCCTTCCAGTGTTCGAAATTCTTATTTCTCCACAGTCCATTTTCCTTCAATGGGATTTTCAAAATAGGAGTTTTTTAAAAAAAAACTCAAAGTATTTAAAGATTACATAAATGGGAATTCTATAAAACAAAAAAAATAATAAAATTAAAAAATAAATAAATGTGAAGCCTTACGTCTATTCGAGTTGCCATAACAAAATTTTATCTAGTAGGTGGCTTAAACATAGAACTTCTCACTGTTCTAGAGGCTAAGAAATCAATGATCAATGTGCTGGCTGATTTAGATGTTAGAAAGTGAGACAGACATAGAGAAAAGAGAGAGAAATAATTTGGGGATTTGGGGTGTTTCCTCTTACGGCAATAATTTCATCATGATCTCAGACCTCATAACCTCCTCTCAAACTAATTATTTCTCAAAGACCCCATCTACAAACTCTGCTTTCAGTTCTTGGACCTTGACATGTGATGTTGGGGAAGGCCATTCAGTTCAAAGCAGTTAATATCTAAAATAATATTTGCAAAGGCATAGATTTTAAAAAAAAGAAATAGTGATATTTTAGAAAATAGTGATATTTTATTTATTTTTGCAAGAAAACTGAATTGCAAAAATAGAAACTTTTTTTATAATCCCAGTATCCCTTAGTACTTACTGTTAAATGAAACTTAAAGCCAATAAAACAATAAATAATAGAGAAACTAAGGAACATGTCTCATAAGTTAGTTCTGTCTCAAAAGAATAAGCCAAAATTAGTCATAGACTAATTAGGACAATAATCACCACAACATATGTTAAGATATATGGGAAGTGACTGGGTGCTCTAAGAAAAATTCAAAATTATATTTATTAAAATAATAAATTATTTAAAAAAATACACAGTGGATAAAGGACCAAACATGATGACCTCTCAGTATCTGTATTGCAAACCATAATTCTTAATAGTAAATGCCATAGAGGCAGGGGTGGGGTGGCAAAAAGGATGCTGGGGATATTGGTGGTGGAAAGTCTACACAGCAGAGTGATGGGTGTTCGATCATTGTGTGACTAAAACTCAATCATGAAAGCTCTGTAACTATATCTCACAGTGATTTAATAAAATAAAATGCACAAAAATGAATCAAGAATCCAAATAAAGACACGAGAACAACAAAGAACAAATGACCATAGGAAAACAAAGATATAGTAAGTTAAAAAATTAGTAATAGGCAAAATTAAAATTAAAGCATGGGGCCGGCAAGATGTATAGTGATGAAGGTGCTTGGTTAACAAGCAGCCAACCGTGGTTTGATCCCCAGTTTCACATATGCACCCCTGACTCCAGGACCATCAGGAATGATCCTTGAGCACAGAGCCAGGAGTAAGCCCTGAGCACCACAGAATATGACCCCCACCATAAATTTTTTTTAATTAATATATAAATTCATAGATTGGTTCTTTGTAAAGCCCAATGAAAGAAAGGGAAAGTGCTGGAAAAATTAAGAAGACAAAATGCCAATAACCTAATAATGTAATTTATCATCATTAAAAAAGAGAGAAAAAGAAGATTCTGACATAGTCAATCCAAAAATCTACAGCAAAATGCAAATATTTTGATGAGAAAATGATTTCCAGAAAATCAAACTATAATTCACTAAAGATGAAGGAGAACCGTAGATAACCTAAGAAATAGTGACATTAACAAAATTGTGTTTAAAACTACTCCCTAAAAATTATTTCTAAATATTTCTCATGGAAGAAAGAATTTGATGTTCACTCAAATTTTCAAGATATACATTATTCCTATGTGAAAGATAAGAATAACACTATGTATACTATGGTATAAATATATCAGTTTTTGAGACTTATAAAGTACTCTGTTTTTACAGGTTTACCTAAACACCTATATAAAATCCTTAATAACACTTTAAGAAACAAAATTAAATTGTGAAAGTAAGGAAAAATACCATCAAAATATCTAGATTAAATGTAATTTAGCCAGAGAGTTTATAAAGTCATGTACTTTTCTCACCTCAATTGGCCAAAATTAGAAAAATGCATGTTGTTATCTCAACAGAAGTTGAACAATGTGATTAAAGTTAAATGTCCATTACTCCCAAAGCCAAAATTAAAGGGTGATTGTGTGTCATATATTATAATTCTTCTGGAAATTTTACATATAATCAGATAAAAATAACTATGGCCACTTTGGAAAGAGCAAGCAAATATATAATTGTACACTTATTTGAAAAGTCCAAGCCAAGTAATAAAACTGTAAAATTAAAAACAAAAAGTTGCATGTTGTTTTTTTAAATTTAAAAATGAGTAAGTTTCCACTGTATTTTTAATATAATTTAAAAATAGAAATTCATAGCAGTAACCTAAAGTATAAGTTGTCTAATGATGAACTTTTAAAATGTTTGAGGATTCACTGGCTTACTCGAAGAAGGTATGAATAAACACAGAATATAATGTTTTGTGTAGGAAGACAATATCATGCAACATATTTTTCTTTTTTATGAGGAGTGAGTCACACCTAGCTGTGCTCAGGGCTTCATCCTGGCTCTGAACTCACGAATGACTCTTGGCAGGGCTCAAGCGATGCTGGGGATGGAACCCTGGTTTGCCACAATCTCCCTGTCCTCTATACTGTCTCTTCAGCTTTGCCAGTAAATTTTTCTATAAACATGCTTAGTCTACAACTGTGATAAAGTTGAAGTGAATCCATAACTGCAGTGCAATTTCAGTCAAATTTGAATGCAGTTTTTCAAAGCAGATCTTCAGTGAAATGTGGACATGTTTCTTTGCTTATTATAGCATATTTGTTTAGGATACATTCCTAGAAGAGATTTACTAAGTCAAGTGTATTAAAATTTATGTAGGTTTTATTTTATTTTTATTTATTTTTATTTTTTTTCTCTCTCTCTTTTTTTTATTAGTGAGACACCATGAGGTACAGTTTGTAGACTTAAAAATTTTGTGCTTGGGTTTCAATTATACAATGATCAAATAGCCATCCCTCCACCAGTGCCCATTTCCCACCACCATGGATCCCAGTATCCCTTCCACCCCCCATCCCCCCACCCAACCCTGTCTCTAAGGCAGGGCATTCCCCTCTGTTTTCTCTCTCCTTTAAGGTGTTGTTTTATGTAGGTTTTAAATGTAAATTATCACATTGTTCACAAGAAAGACTTATTTCCAGTTTATGCTTGTTAACCTCATGCTTATTCTTTTTAATTGTGTCAGTTTAACTATTCTATGGCTATTTTCTTTTTTCTTTCCTGTCATACTAAAAAGTTTGAATTTTGTTTGATTGTTTTCGGGACCACACCCAGCAATGCTCAGAGCTTATTCCTAACTGTGCTCAGAGATAACTCCTGGCAGGACTCAGGGGACTAAATAGGGTGGCAGGGATTAAATCTGGGTTAGGCTTTGTGCAAGGCAAGCACCCTACCTACTGTATTTTCTTTGGGGCCCCAGAAAT